TAAAGCCCACGTTTACCAGCAAATGGTCAGTAATCAGATTTCTCCGCCCACCCTGGCCCGACCATATTTCCAACCCAAAGCTGGCAGTGTGCTGATGATATATGACCCTACGTCCTGGTTTCCTGGTTGGAACATTTGGACTGACATTCAGCTGCAGACACATCAGACATTTTTGTTTCTGTTTCTGTTTCAGACTTTGGATGTAATTACTAGACAAAAGAGAAAAATACTTTTTAGCTTTCTTTTATCCCACTGCGCTGCTGTTGGGGATTCCCTCTCCCTGTCTGAAGTCTTTGTCCTGCAATATCTGAAATACATGTTAAATAAAAACAGGTTTCTCCAGCATAAATCTGACTCTTTCTGTAACTTCTCTTGCCTCCCCTCTTTTAGTCTTTTCTCCTCTCCTCTCCTCTCCTCTCCTCTCCTCCCTCCTCCCCTGTCGCTTGTCCCTCCCCCTGTCAGATGGAGGTTTTGCTCTCAGAACCAGATGAGCGTCAGTTTCTCATGAACCCCCTCAGCGAGTGCAGCTCAAACAGACGAGCTGCCAGAGAAAACATCAACACAACAAGACGGGTCAGAATCTGCTGCTCGCTCACCCTCTCTCTGCCCCTTCCTCTCTCTCTCTCTCTCTCTCTCCCTCCTTTCTCCTCCTCTACACTCTCTCTATTTTCTCTCCCACCATCTACTTTTTAGTTCCTGAGTGCTGCTGCAGTTCAAGGTTCCTCGAGTTCATGTTCTGTCAACTTCAGCTGGTACTCTTACAGTGAGTGTGTGTGTGTGTGAGTGTATGTGTGTGTGTGTCCCGGCAGCAGTGGGGGTCCATGGGTCATTAGATGGACTCAGTAGGAGGTCGCTGGTTCAATTGTGGCTGAATTAAATGTTAACACTTGTCACTGAGGAGTGTGTGTGTGTGTGTGTGTGTGTGAGGGGATGCACCATAAGGAAGCTGGCAGTGTGTCCTTTGTTCAGTGAAGTGTAAATCTGTTCCATGTTCACGCGCTTCATTGTAAGTGGTTCAGACTCCTCAACAATGGTTGCATTAGCGGTGAGGATGCCGACACGTTATAAAGGAATGCCAGCAGTGTGAGATTAATAGAGTTTGTCTTTGTGGTCTAATAAAGCGTGTAGTGCAGATGTTTGGTTTTAATGTCACTGATACACGCACTAACTGCTGGGGAGTGTGTGTGTGTTTGAATACAGGGTGTGTAATGAAGTGTGTAACTTCTTTTGAAAGGGCGGGTGGCACGGTGGGTTAAGTCTCATAAAACATAATCAAAATGAATTTTATTGGATGCTTTGTACTGTGAACAGTTTACACTCAATAATATAAAATACCATGTCTGTTATTTCCATTGTATACATATTTTGTGCCTTCAAAACAAATGAAATGTCACATGAATAAATCCCAGTAAATGTAACTGAATTGAATTGAGCTGAGCCCAGTCTCTCGCCGTGTAATACACATGCTGATCCACAACAGCTCTCAACCTTTTTGGTGTTCAAGGAAATTGATGCACATCAGGCTACGGACGTGTATGTGAAAAGAAAGAAAAGGGACTTGGTGTGCAAAGGCCTTTAGTGTCATATATATAGATACAGATAGATAAATATGAAGAGCAACAACGTCCATGTGGGGAGGAGGTCAGGGTGGATGGATAGATCAAACACAGGGGATCGGTATTTGTTTCCTGTGTGAAACCAATAGTCTACGTTGATTGCTTTAAGGAAGTAGTTATCCTAACCCAAACCTAGATCTTTTTCTAAACTGCGACCGTCATCTGAAATGTTTCTCAGGAGGCTTTATTTGAAAATCTAACCAGACACTGTATAATTCTTACTCACCCAGCTCACTTGATCGCAGTATCACACAGACGCGTGTAGAGTTTGAGGAGTTGGAGATTTAGTAAAGGTGTCTGTGTCTGGGAATTTGTCCACATTAAGCCATTTAAATTTATTCTGTTTTTCTCACCCAAAAAACAGAACTTTCAAAACCGTCTCCAGACTGTATTAATCTTAAAACACTGGTAATGTGTGCAGGGAAAACTGAGCTTTTGCAAAACAATAATATTAGCTGCCCATTGAGGGTTAATGTCAGTGTAGCCAAAAACACAGCAGAACTGTTGTCATTACCCTGGATTCAATTATAAAATAATGATTTTATCAGCACAGCTGGAGAATGGCTGCTGGTTAACATGTAATGTTTATTAGCTGCAATTAAATGACTTATTTTGTACTAGTTCTTCGTGTCTGCCAAAGGAAAATATGTAAATGAGAACTACTGAATCATGAATCTGGCTGCATAAAAACAGGTGATCACAGAGAGCTGGAGGACAGAGGTGTAAAGTCACAAATCACACAAACTAGATGGCTTATTTTTGGACATTTTTGAGTGTGTAAGATATTCCAGGTGTAAAGGGGTCTTTGTGGTGTAATTAAGGGTGCTACATGCAGCATTTAATCACAATCAATAAATCACTACCCCATTAATTCAGACACATTAGCATAATCACTGTAAACAAACAACACCCCTGCTGAAAAGACTCTTCACTGTAATTTGAAGAGAAATCTGCTAAATGGCTCCACAACACAAAACAGGAAGCAGGCGTTCTCTTCCAGAGAGAGAATAAAGATTGACAGAGAATCACAAGTTGCTTTACAGGAACAGACAGCCGTCAGTTTGATGAGGAACAGAAGCATTAATGTCATTATTGTGGCCTCATGGAACATTACTTACTAACATTACCACAAGATTATAGCTGGTAGTTCAATATAAGTTACAGTGATTAGATTCAGTCTCACAACATCAGCTTGTTCGACACTTAAATACCTGCAGGCTGTATTAAGGCAGCTTGCTGTGTGAATATGTTACCTGAACCCAGTGGTTTTTAAACTATTTGTGCCCAGTGCACCAAAGGGCAGGACATATCCATACAAAGCGTTTATCTCCCTGTAAACATATTTCACTAATGCCAAATAAACTTTAATAAGCAACTATATTAATAATGAAATACTTAATAAAATAAGTAAATAATTCATTTGAAACAACACACCCATTTAAACCAGACAGGTCACAA